AAAAATAAAAAGCATGCCCCCACAAAAAAAAAAAAAAGAAAAGTTTAGATACTGCATACTGGATTGAGAGGAATTTCAGTAACAGCTACAGAAGTTAATAGCTACAAAGCACTGTCCATCCAGACACAATTCTAAGAAAAGAAAACATGAATTATGAATGAATTATATGTGTGCCTACATATACACACTTATTTAATCCTTATGACATATTTACTTTTCACCATTTACAGATGTGGACGCTAAGGAACAATGAAGGCAAATGACTTCATCAAGTCACACAGTAGGACAGCCAGGACTCAATCCAATTACGACTACACAAATTAGCAGGAGGAAAGTATAGAGCATCACATTAGTTATCCAAAGTCATTCAAATCTGGGCTGGTGGAGTGGCTCAAGTGGCAGAGCACCTGCCTAGCAATCGTGAAGCCAGTACTGTCACACTGTCACACACACAAAATCCTGGTGAAGTCATTCAAGCCTGTACATACATGAAAAAGCACATATATGAAGTCCCTACTTTATGCTTTTCAAGTAGCAGGACTAATTCCAGGCTTAGTTCACATTTAAAAATAATGGTTCACAACCCTGGCTGGACATAAAAACCTTCCCATGAGCCTTCTAAGGTCCAGAGGCCCGAGCTGCATCCAATTACCTGCAGCAGTATTTCTGAGAAGCAGGACCCTACAGGCCTCCTCTTTAAACTCCCTAGGGGATTCCAATATGTAGCCAACGTTGAAAAGGATGTTTCAGAAACAAGTGTTCAAAACAATGTACAGGTAAGTACTAATGGGTGATTTCCTACTCTGTCACTATTTTGCTACCTAATGAAAGCAAATGATACTGGACAAGATCAATTTAGGCCTTAGAAAGTTAAACACATAACATTACCAAATTGTCCAGCAATTTCACTCCTAAGTGTATAAAAAAGACCTGAAAACACACGTCCACGCAAAAAAGCATACACAAATTTTCACAGCAATATTATTCCAAATAGCCAAAAAAGTGGAAAAAACTCATTGTCCCTACAATGAACTATTATTCCACCATGAAAAAGGAATCAAACGCCAGTGTGAGAGGGCATCCCTATAATCCTGGAAGGCTGGGGCTGGAGTATTGAGAGTTCAAGTCCAGCCTGGGCTACACAGTGAGTTCAAAGCCAGCCTGGACTACATAGCAAGACCTGTCTCTAACAAACAAATGAAAAAGAAATTAGGGAAGTTACATGGTGTATTATATGTTAGTACTGAAAGTATTATATTAAGTAAATGAAAACAGACACTTGAGCTGGTGGAGTGGCTCAAGAGGTAAGAGCACCTGCCTAGCAAGTGTGAGGCCCTGAGTTCAAACCCCAGTGCTGCCAATGAAAAAGAAAACAAACACATCAGATCATATATTGCATAACATCATTTATCTGAAATATTCAGAACAGGTTAAATTTAAATCCACAGAAACAGAAAGAGCAGCAATTGCCAAGAGATAGGGGAAGGGAGAGTTGGGCCCAGATATAACAGGTACAGGATTTCTTTTTGGATTGATGGAGACAGCCCACATCTTTCTCCATAAGTCACAGCATGGCATGACCCTTTGAAAGTAAAATCACCAACAGAAATTATGAAAATGTAAAAAAAAAAAAAAAAAAAGGCACCAAGGAGACAGAGAAAGGTCCCTCATTTACAGGATAAGAGCAGGGCCAAGAAGGCAGAGGGGCCCTTGTCCCATCTCGGCTGGACACCTGCCTATTGGTGAATCATGACTCTGAAAATGACTGTGAAAGTAGCTCAAGTATTGATCTTACAGCTATAGATAAGTTTTAGAGAGTAGGCAAATTCACAGACACAGAATCTACAATATTCAAATAAAGATGGCAGAGGCTTCTGCCTGACACAAGCCCCTGCCTCACCCACCCTCCCTCTGTCCCTTCTAAGAGTTCCTTCCTGGTCCCAGTTCTCACCATCCCTTTCCCAGACCAGGGATGGCCCTGACTGATGTCCACCTCCTACAGCCAGGCACAGACAGGCTGCCACCCTGGTGCTCCTCAGTGTGCATGGAGAAACACAGGAGAGGGGGGTAAATGCCCAGAACTGCCATTGAGGGTTGTCAAGGCTCCAGAAGTCCAGTTTGCCAAGCTACATAGCAGAGGCCAGATGTCAAGGGGCAGTGTCTGCTACTTGTCCAGAGGTGACTATACTGGTCCTGTCCTTTGCAGAATGCCTGCCTGTGGTGCCATAGCTGGATGGTGGCAGGTGGATGGGGAAGTGGGTGAGTGGGTGGGTAGGTAATAGGTAGATGGGCGGTGTGGGGGTAGATGAGTGGGTGGGCAGACACGTTTTCTCTGACTTTGTTCTGTAACAGAGGTCGTCTCAGGGCATCCCACTGGATGCAAAATGAAAAAGGTTTCAAATGGAAAAAGATAACAAGCATTTTAGGAGCTGAGCTGACAAAGAAAATGAAATCCAAGCTCGGCTGCTGCCTGGGGACCCTAGATAAAGTAGCCTCTCTCAGCCCACAGGTGGCCACAGGACACACTCAAGGTCCTCCAGGTTTTGGCACACAGCCCATTCCTGTGTCAGATTTCACTCCTGAAAATGCCCACGCCAGCCTGCCTGTTCCCAGCAGCTCAAGCTGGCAGCACAGAGGCCCACTCCCCCTCATGCCAGTCTCAGTCTCTGCTTCCCAACAAGAGGTAGTGGTGAGTTCTCTGCAGTCACGGCCCAAACATGTCGTTGTGGAGGTGCATGCTCCCCACATGGGTAAGTGTGTGGGCCTCTGCCTGGGTGTGGTGGGGGCCTACATGTACCTTCATGTCCTCAGGCATCTGGTGTCCAGAGCTGTGGGCAGGCATATATATACCTACAGCTCCAAGGACAGACCCAGTTCCCCAGGGTCTGAAAGAACTTTCTGAAGGACCCAGTCTGGGGATAAGGCTGCACTGAGGCCAGATCGGTCCTCCTTTCAACCTCAGGGGGAGGAAATAAACTCAGGATAGGGCTGGGAGTGCCTGGAGGTGCAAGGGTTAGCAGCAGAGTCACTAAAAGAAATGGGAGCTGGGTTTGGTGACCCATACACTTGAGAGGCACAGGCAGGAGGACCACAAGTTCCTGATCAGCCTGGGCTACATAGTGAGGCCCTGATCACAAAACAAATGCAATTAAAAGGGGCTTTACATGTCTCAGAAAGTCACTGATCAAGACAGGAGGAGTTCCAGGAGCTGAGACCCCCATTCCCTTGGCATGGTGAAGCCAAGCCCAAGACCCCAGGGAAAGTACCCTCTGGTTTCAGTATCTATAACCATCCCCTGCCTGACCTCTGACCCCTGACCTCTGAGCCCTGACTCCAGCTACTCATCACCCATCTCACACACACACAAACACACACACACACCCCAAGTCATCCCCATTCAGTGCCCAAGGCCCTCATCTGCTACTCCAAGGACTTCTCCAGCCTCCCCTGATCAAAAGACCCTGCCTCCTCACCCTGCCCTCCTCAACCTGCTCTGGCCCGCATGGTCTCACCCAACCCTGGAGTGCAGCTCTGATGGGTCTCTTCCCGGTTGCCAGTGGTGCCTGGATTGCAGCCTGACCCCTGAGCCGTGCCATCCCCAGGCAGAAGTGCAGGGGTGAAAGCCCTGGGCAGGAGCTAACCCTAGGGACACTGGCTCCTCTCCATCGGGCAGGGGTCCTCACACCTGAGTGTGCTGTGGAAGCACCTGGAAAGGTTAACCAAACACTGCTCCCCACCCAGCCCCTGTGCATTTCTAGGTGAGGCTCAGGTGCATGAAACCTGGAGGTCCAGCCAGTGGAGCAGAGGCTCCACCTAACACTGCTTTCCCAGTTGGGCTATCCTCTCTCCTGAGGTGAAAGGTCACATTCCTCTTTTTGGATCAACAAACACACCCACTGACTAGAGCAGGGCAGCTCAGGACAGAGATGAGATGCCACAGCCAAACAACTGCTGGACTCTGGAGACAGAGGGAGGCCCCAACCCTAGCTCAGAGGAGAGAAGGAAGGTTTCCTGCACTGAGGGTCAGGGAGAGGGGCCAGTAAGCAGGTGGGAGGACCTAGTGGCCTTCCAGGCACAGGCATACTCCTACAGGGACTCCATGCATTCCAAGAATGGCTGAGTCCTGTACAGGAGCAATTGCCCCATCCCAGACTGGAAAGTGTCCAAGAGCCAGTCAGCACAGCCTTGGCGGGCTCCACTGGGCACACCCCACATTCAGGAGCTCTCCTCTGGCACTGCGCTGGTTATTTGGTCCTGAGGCCTAGCCAAGATTTCAGGCCTAACAGTGGTGGGGCTGGGCAGGGGACACCACACAGGGTGTAGACATTTACAGGCCACGAATGGTGAGCTAATCCCACATACTGGAGGGCATTGAGTACCATGAGCACCTGCAGTTGGCCCGGGGCAGAAGTGCCTGCCAGCCTGGGAGGCCACCTGGGCTAAGATCTGAAGAGCCCTTCACTCTGCAAACGGCCACACCAGGCTCTCCATCCCTGGAGAATGGAAAGAGTGATTTCCCACGAAGGACTCGGGACAGGGGACACCAATCCCTTTAACTAGAGCAGGGTCCCTGTGTAGGGGGCCTCAGATGGCGCAGTGCCTACGGTGGTAACCCTGGAGGGTGCTAGGAGTGGTGGAAGGGAGATAGTGGGGATTGGGGTGGGGACTGAGTGAGACCAGAGGTTGGGGAACAGATTCCATCAGTCTCCTAGGCCCCCGGCCCGCATATGTCCCACTTCCCATCTGTACCTATTAGGAGCCAGACGGGCTGGATTGGGAAGGGACCAATGTCCCTAAGGTGCTGCAGGGTGTTCACAAGCGAGTGGAGACGCGTGAGGGCGCCCTCCCAGGCAGTCGGAATGGGAGGCGCCTCTCTGGAGACCCCTCCCCACCCCGCCCCGTCCCGCGCCCGCCCCCCCACAACGTGGCCGCCGGCGGGCGGGGCGGCGCCTCCCCTTCCTCCCGCGCGCCCCGCCCGAGCCGGCGCCAACCCTGTCGGACTCTTCGGAGCGCCGCGGTGGGGCCAGCACCCTGCAGCCCCTGCCCACCTCGGGCGAATCAGTGGCCGCACCATCACCCGGCTGCCGCCCCCCCGGCCCCTGGTAAGTCTGCGGCCTCGGGGCCCGCCAGGAACCCTGGGGGAAACTGAGTCTGGGAGAAGGCAGGGGAGCGTTTGGGGCTGGGGAGGGAACTCCCGGCGGCAGCATCAGGGCTCGGGTGGCAGCGAGCGGACCCGAGGCGCATGGCGGCTGGGGACCCAGTCCTCCGGCAGGCACCAGGGCGCCCCTGGCCCCGCCGGCTCCGCGCGCCCCGCCCTGGACTGCGGGCCCCGCGCAGAGACGCCGCCCGCCCGAGTGCGCACGCCCGCAGGGTGGTGGTTAAGGGTCTTCCGAGCCTCCACCGGAGCAGGCGGGAGTTCCCCGCCTCGCGGCTACCACATCCTGACCGTGAATCAGCCACAGTTAAGAAAATAAACTTCAACTTAGGGTCCGCCGCCCCAGTGGCACAGTGCCTGCCTGCGGCCCCGCCCTAACTGCTCGGTTTCTAGCGGCCCACGCAGGTGGGCGCGCACGGACCCTGGCCCCCCAACTGGCAGGCTCTGTTCCTGGGGCTGGAGCGGTTCTGTGCTCCCGCGGCCGCACCTGTCGATCCCCTTTTCCCGGAGTGGGGGGCGGGATTCAGGAGTGAGTGACCACCTATGCCTCCACTCACCCCCAGTCGCTTCTGGGGAGCACAGGCACGGGGGGGGGTCTGCCCCCCTGGGCTTCCAACCACTCAGGGCTCCAGGCCACAGCCACAGCCAGACATACTAGGAATCAGAGTGGCAAAGATGGCCCTGACCCTGCCTGAGCCAGAGGTCAGGCACACCCACACCAAAGCCCGTTGCGAAGTTCTCTTCCCACCAGCTCTGTCCCACCCTCCGGCAATGGGATCTGGGCAGGACACTTGCCATCTCTTGCCTCAGTTTCCCCATCTGCACTTTGAAGGGTGGGACACAAGCACAGGCATTGAGGAAGGCAGGGACCCAGAGCAAACGCTTCAGGTTGCTAGCCAGGGCAGAGGACCTAAGAAGAGTGAATGCTTCCGCCCCTCCTAGCAATGTCGGTGTTTGTTCCAGGGCTGGGGCTGAGGCTTCACACCCCTCCCAGTGGATCAGAGCATCTTTTTCTATTTAAAGCCAGCAGGTCCTTCCTGGGACCAGGTTAGAGCTGACCACTGTCCAGGCCTGCCTTCCCCAAGAGCACCAAACTGTGGACATCATGAGCTCTGTTGGCAGACAAAGGGGACATCCCTGGACGGACTCGGGTGGCCAGGAGGGGCTGCCCTCCCATGTTGTCTGCTGTCAAGGGTTCTGAAGCTCCTGAACAGCAAAGAGTTAACCTTCAGGTGAGGCCCCCTACTTTGTGGGGGTGCTGACTGCTGTCGGAGTTAATTGCACACTCCTCACATTCTGGGACCTGGGAGCTCCTTCTTTAAATAGACTCCTTCGCCCTCTATCAAAGTGCAGTCATTCCCTGGATTGAAAAAGTTTTCAGGCTCAGGAAGGCTGCTGGAGGGATGGGGGATGGCTGGATAACAATGGGGGTGCCGCCACAGGTGCAGGCAGGACACTGCTGATCGGGGCAAGGGTAGTGGGTTCTCTGGAGTTGGCTTGAACTGGGCTCTGTGCGGCATCAGTGTCAAAGTCTCCATGGCCTAACTCTTGGCTGCCTGACCTCCTCCCTTACTTTGGTCTTGCATACAGTAGTTGTCTAATAGGCACATAGTTCCAGGCCCAGTGGGCACAGTGTGTTGGAGAGGGCATGCCCACATCTGTTTCTAGACTGTGTCTTAGGGAGATGAGGCAGGAGGGCTGGAAAGTAGAGACTAGGCAGAGCCAGGCCTGGGGCCACCCAATGTTGAAGACAAGAAGATGTCACTGGAAGTGTGAAGTTGGGGTCCAAACATGTAGCCTCCTGTTATGGAGGCCTCCACTCCCACCAGCCTCACTAATAAAGAGGGTCCTGCTCCTGAACACCCAGACACCCTTGTCCTGAGCCAGCATGGGGTCTGTCCACTTCTGTCCTGTCTACCCAGCACCCAGGCACAGGCCAGCCCATGGTGATCACCAGCTATGCAGGAACTAGGCAGGGAGCAGGCAGAGGCACAACTGAGCTTGTCCTCCCTTGCAGCTCCTCCCTTTTTTTTTTTTTGGCAGCACAAGGGTTTGAACTCAGAGCCTCATACTTGTTAGGCAGGCACTCTATCACTTGAGCTACTCTGCCAGCCCTTTTTTTGTGTGTGTGTTGGGGATTTTTGAAATAGGGTCTCTTGAACTGTTAGCCCGGGCTGGCCTCAAACTGTGTCTGCCTCCCAAGTAGCTTGGATTACAGGAATGCCCCACAGGTGACTGGCTTCTTACAGCCCTTTCTAAGCTGTGATTAAAGAAGGAATGGGGTGGAGGCTGCTTAGGGTCTCTCTGCCACTCAGGTCTCCCCTCTGCTAGGGCTACATCAGCCCCCAAGCACTGGCCCTGAGCCTGGCCTTTCTCTCAGCACTCCTGGCATCTGAGTGGTCTGTGTGCTCAGCATGGACAAACAAGGCACTGAACAGTGAATGTGGGTGCTGCAGTCCATTCAAGCAGGAGGACCTTACAAACCCCTCGCTGTAGGTATCTATTCTCCCACCCCTCACCCCTCTGGGGGACAGCACTCAGTACTGTGCCGGACACACATAGGGCACTTCCTAGATCTTCCCACCCACTCCCAGCATCCACACTGTTCCCACTGCTAGGTGGCTTGGGGCTGGACATCACAGCAGCTCTGGGAATACAGTGGCTTTTGTTTTGGTAAGATAGCCCCTTCTGGGGCTTGGGGCAAGGCAGGCCCCTTCTTTGGGCACCTCCTAGACCCTTGGAGCATCAGGCACTGGGGCATTGCCTGACGGGGAGGCCTGGAGCCTAGGCCTCTTTCTAGCACTATCTGAGGACAGAGTGTTAAAGCTGCCTTCCTGTCCTCCCTCTCTTCCCCCACCCCCAGCTTCTCACCCTATAGCTTTTCCTTGGTACAGGAAGCAGAGGGATGGGAGAGGGATGGGGGGAGACCAGAGAGGAGGATCAGGCAGGCCTTGCCAGCCTCCTACCTTCAGCTGGCTCCTGTGGTGTGTAGACACAGGCGGGGCAGGTGGGCATGAGAAGGCCTAGCTGGTCCCTACCTGGTGATGGAGGCCTTTGCAGGTCAGAGGGACCTGGGGAGAGTGCCCTGGGCCGTGTTCCCTGCCCTTACTACATAGCACTCCACCACCCTCTTCTCAGAGCTGGACTTGGTCTGAGCACCCCAGGTCCAAAGTGGGAGGAAGACAGACATGGAAAGGAGGGCCATCCTGCTCCCCTGGGCACTGCCTGGCCAGCCTTGTAGTAGAGGCAGAGGCCTCCCCAGGCAGTGTATATGGCCAGTGCCCAAGGGCTTCCATTGGTGAAAGGGAGGCCAGCCAGGAAACACACCTGGGGAGGTGGAGGCAGCCTCCCTTCCCATTTTGCAGTGCTGCTAAGGCCTGACATCACGGTCTAACACTGTGGACAGCCCAGAGCACCATGAGGCAGGGCAGAAGCCCTCCCAGCTAAGCATACCCTCTTGGGATGGGGGTGTGGCTACTCCATACCTCCTGCAGGGCCCCACTCAGTGCTGTGGGCAGAGGCCAGCCCAGCCGTGGTCTGCCAACACTCAGAGTCCCTACAGGTACTAGGACAGCAGGAGTTTCTCACTGCTGAGCTCAGTCTTAGCGCATGTCAGGTGGAGGGATAGTGGCTATGTTCTAGAAGCCAGCCTAAATGCTGGGGAGTTGTATGAGGTGGACTGGTATCTCCATGGCAGTTTCTCTGCCTGTGCCTGGTCCAGGTCTTAGGCCCTGGGCTGTGGCCTCCATGTGTAGCCCGCCTCCCCCATCATCACATCCCCGTGTCACCATTGTGTCCTCGTGTCCCTGTTTCTGCTCCAAGCACAGCTTGGCACTGCCGTCTGCACCCACAGCAGGAAAGCAGACATCTGCTCTAGCCCAGTCCAGCCTGGGAAGAGGGTGCTGCCCATCCCCCACCTGCCTCTGTCCCCCTGCATGCATAGGCATGAGTGACCGGAGAACAGAGCCCCTTGGGGACATCCACACTCATAGCACCCAGACTGTAGAGGTAGGGACAGGGAAATGGGGCCTGCCTGAAGCAGGTGGCATAGAGATGGGTGGACCCAGATGGTCACCTCTGAGTGGAGGCGAGGGGCAAGCCTCCTAGGTGGGTCCTTGCAGGCCTTTAGGCAGCGCTGCAGCCAACATGGGGTCAGAGCCAAATGAGTCTCTGGAGAACATCCTGGCTACTTTCAGAATGGGCTGGCTTTCTCCCACACCCTCACTTCCCAGCCAGGAATGCAAGTGTATATCGTGCGTGCCCAGGCTGAGGATCTTGCTTGCCCGGTTGGGCCTGACAGGCTCCCTGGTGCTGGCTGCCTGGGGCCAGGTGGCCGAGGAGCACTGAGTGGGGGCCAGGGAGACTCATGCACCGTTCCAGTTCAATCCCAGCCACTAAGCAGGTGGCAGGCCAACTGGACAGCAGCAGTCAGGGAACGGTCCTTTGCAGAAGTTGCGGGGCCTGGCATTACAGGTGACAGCTTGTTCTGACAACAGGTCATGGGTCTGGCATTGACATGCTCATCCTTATATGAAGACAGGAGATGCAGTGGGCTGTCCAAAGGACCTGCAGGCCAGCAACAGAGCCTCTTCCCACATGGAATCAGGCTTGTCCCCGACCCTGAGTACTGGCAACTGCCCCCACCCTGGCTGGAGTATGCAAGCACTGTCCTTTTTCCATTCTCAATCTATCTTTGTTCTCCCTGTCCCTGGAAAGGCAGTCTAGAACTGGGATACTGTGGAGGGCAGGGACTCTGGGCCTGGCATGTGGACAGGCAGAGGGCATCCTTCCTGTCCTGGGCTCAGACAGGGTGGAGGCCCAACTCCTTGAGGCATAGACAAGCACACAGCAGTCAGGACCTGAATCCTGAAGCCTGCCCTGTCCCTCCCAGGTTGAGAGAGGCCTTTCTGAGGACAGCAGAGGGACTGGGAGGGCCACAGGGGCGTC